TCCCCTCCCTCCCTCCCCTCCCCTCCCTCCTCCCTCCTCCCTCCTCCCCTCCTCCCCTCCTCCCCTCCCTCCCCCTCCCTCCCTCCTCCCTCCTCCTCGCTCCCTCTCCCCTCTCCCCTCTCCCCTCTCTCTCTAGCGTGTCCCCAGGCTCTTCTCTCATCTCTCCTCTGTTTCTTCGGCCCGTCAGATGGATATGGCGGGATGAGCGTCGGCTTCCTCTGGCTCGTTGAGCTCCACACAGTAGGTGTGAGGAAACCAGCCGATCTCATCGTGAAACCTGCGGCGGGTCAGAGGCCATGGAGGAGGGGCGAGGAGGTGGAAACAGATCAACACAGCGCAACGAGAGGAGAAGGGAAGAATACGAGGGGTAGAGAGCGGGAGAGGGGAGGAGGAAAACGACTGGCAGGAGGAGGAGCGAATGGTATGGCGACACTCACATGCCCAGCCACCAGCCGTTGGAGTCCTTATGCAGGATGGTGACGACATCCTTGGGCTTCAACCTGCCTGAGATGAGGGGCGAGCGGAAAGAGGGAGGAAAGAAGGGGAGATACGAGGAGAAGAGAGGTCGGCAAGAGAAAGACGAGGAGGAGGAGGAGGAGACCTTAAGAAATCGTGCAAGACTTCCTGCCCTGCTGTCGCCGCTCGGTACTCGCCGGGCTCAAAGTTGTAGACGATGACTGCCTTGCCGATGGGCTGCGACACCAACGAGTGAGGGAAACAAGGAAGGCGGAGGGAGGAGACAAGGTGAGGAAGCGCTGTAGGGGTCAGGCTAGCAGAGGAAGAGGAGGAAGACCTCTAGATGATCTTCTTCAGACCCTGAGCATTCAGACTTGTCAAGGCGAGCAAGGAAGAAGAGGAGGAGGACCGGAAGCGCTGGAGTAGACCGAGCATTGAGAGTCCATCGACCCTCGCCGAGCGGAGAACTCTGTTATCATGGTCACACAACAAGTTGGGAGAAGAGAGAGAGCATGTTCTTGTGCTCGCCGATGCATCTCTCACCGATGAATCTATTTGCCTGCTCCGTCGCCTGCGACTCCGTCCTGTCTGGAGTCGGAGGAGGTTCCAGCGTCCTCGAGAGTTGCATCTAGAACATGTCATCAACGGACGAGGAGGTGGAGATTGTCGTGGTGATGTAGGAAGAGGAAGGAAAGGCGGGTGGGGAGGGGGTGTAGGGGGGGTCGGGAAGAGCCTCACCGCAGGAACCTCAGGCCCTTCCTCGGCATCCTTGGATGGTCCTTCCCGTGCGTCGTTGCTTCCGTCTAAGCTAAGGCCAGCGAGCCCTGGAGCGGAGGAGCAAGAGACGTCAGGCTCAGTCAAGGAGGAAGGGGGAGGCAGACCGCGCTGTGTCTCTCTTATGTTGGCAAGGGAGGCGCCGCCGGAGATACCAGAGTCCGGATGATGAATCTTGAGGCTGCGTTGCAATTAGACCCGCGGGAGGTCGGGCAGGAGGAGGAGGAGGAGGGGGGGGAGGAGGAACGAGAAGGACGAAACAAAAGGAGAGCGAAGAGGCGGTAGAATAGCCGACCTGCCGGAAGGAGCCAACGAGTAGGTCAAGTAGAGACCGAAACTTTCCTTGAACTTCTCATGTTTCTTATCCTGCCAGCCCGTGAGTCTCTAACTCCGACCCGAGCTTCCCCTCCTGCTGCCTCTCCTTCCCCTCCCGAGCACCTTCTTAGGCGGACCGTCGAGCTCGCACTTGGGCATCCACACGGAGTTGCTCTCCGCCAATGAGGGGCTGGTTGCGCGTGAGGAGGAGACAACGGCAGCAGGAGCGTCACCGGAAGGGGGCAGAGGCATGGTGAGGGCCCTTGAGGAAGGAAGTGTGTATCCAGCAGCTGCAGACCTGAGGAGGCAGGTCACGAGAACAACGACGCTGCTCGCTGCCTCACGTTGTCCTCTGCTGATGACTTGAAGAAGCCGCCGACCTTCTTGTCTGTGATGATGATCTGCAAGCGTGTGACTAGGAGGGCACAGGGCTGGTAACCCAGCAGGACACCTGCACGTCTCCAGCTAGGACCGTGTGGGTGAGGTCGAACTCGAAGTACTCCCCCTTCCCCTTCTGCTCGCGCTGTCAACGACCACGAGCAGCAGCCCAGCAGTCACCTCATTCACGCTGCAGGAGAAGACCGTTGCTCCGTTCTTGATCTGGCACTGTGGTGAGCGAGCTGAGAGGTCGGTACTGCAGGCACCAGCAGCATCGGAGCATGCAGCCAGTAGGGAGGATCGACAATCCTCAGGAGCTTCACCCTCAGCGACTGGCACAGGAGCATCACTGGAGCTCATATACACCTCCCACCCTCCTACCACAAGAGGACGAGACATTCCGAGGTTCTCCGAGAAGTACTGACAGTACCTCCTCTGACTTCTGATCGTGACTCCCTTCCCGTCCCTCGTTCGCGCCTGCTCGTGTCTTCAATCATCTTTCTCCCCATCCTCCTCCATTCTTCACCTGACCATAAAACTTCATGGCCTCTTCCGCTGTCGAGCATGTTCCGCTGCAGGAGCGTCACGAGCGGGTCAGCATGGTTGTGTTGTCACCAGTGGAGCAAGTACGCCACGATCATCACTCCCGTCCGTCCCTTCCCCGCCTGCTGTTTGCTCAGCTCTTTCTCCTTTCCGGCACCGCCACTTGCCTTGCAATGCACCGCAATGATGTTGTGCTCTGACTGGGCCAGCCACCTCTGCGCACTGAAGCAGAAGGGCCTGGCAGAAGCATCAAGGGAAGGGGAGGAGATGGACTGGGGTCAACCTCATCATCTCGAACTGCGGGGGGTTATGGTCGTCGAAGGGGTAGTGCTCCACCCTCCCGTTGAACTGCCGGCGCTCTCAGCTTCCTCCCCCGCCCTCCAGTCTGCCATCCTCACCCGCGAGTGATCGTAAGTTCTCTCCGAGCACAGGTTGAAGATCAGGTAGCGATCCGAATGCCTGCTCGGCCATCAGATGACTGACTCAGTTCAACCTCCTGACCTCGTCTCGAAGAATCTGTATACATCGTCCGCGTGGTTCCTGTAGGAGCCTTCCATCCCTTCCGACGGGAAGCCCATTGCAATGATCCTCGGCGTTCTGCATGCCCGTCTAAGATCCTTCTCCCACCTCCCTGAGCAACGGTACATGTACGCAAGATCCAAGCTGAAACCGTCCTGTTGACGACGGCATGGCACATCAGACGAGAACACGACGAACAGGGTACTGCTCACCTGCTCGAAGCGAAGCTTATTCTTCGACACCATCTTCTTCAGAACGGTCTGCAGCCAAGAGGCATTATTGCGCACACGATTGTGCAAGCCCATCATCACCGTCGGGGTGCCAGTCAGACTAATAGATCCCCGACTCGGTTGGCTGTCAGACGTCAGGCGAGTAGAACGAGGACGAAGACTGGCCAACCTTGACAGCACAGGGTTGATCTCCGGGTATGAACGCCTGACCTGCTCTTTGAGTTCCTCGAAAGAGCCCGAAGGCGAGAGATGCTGCCATGTACTATAAATCCTTGACCATCGCATGCCTCGTGAACCAACTTGTTTCTTGAGGTGCAGCTTGATGTTCCTCAGGATCCCTGACAAAACATTCAGCAAGAACAAGTCAAACACAAGACACGATATACCCTCAATCCATTGGTCTACTATCTCTTCGTCTTCCCCTGTACATCAGTCGCGGTCTCAGTGCACCCCTTGCACCAACCAAGGAACCTCACCTCGCAGCGAGAAGATGCGCGCTTTCCCATCACCCATAAACAGATTAGTCGCCACTTCAAAGGTTGGAAGTCTCTTGGAGGAAATCTTTAACAGCTGCTCGTCAGCACTTTCAACATCAAGGAAGCCTCAACCTTGTATGCGTTCTTGATGTTCCCCATCCATACGACTTTGAGCTACCATTGACAATCATATCACAAACCACTTTATCATTGATCAGAGGGGGTGTGAGAGACGAGAAAGAGAGCAAGCGAGAGCGAGAGCGAGAGGGGAGAGGGAGGGAGGGAGGGAGAGGGGCGGCAGAGGCAGAGGCAGGGAGGAGGAGAGCGTGAGAGATCCGCACAGGAGTATTGTTGGACTCTTGCTCATAATACTGCAGGCACATGCCATCCAACGTGAACCACCTTCAATCACCAGTACATCTCAGGACCTCAAACCCGCACGCAGTCTCGGCCCTTACCGACGTTTCCATCCTTTGTAATTCAGGACTCCTCTTGGGTTGCGCTTGAGGAAGTACCCCTTGAGGAACAAGGAGATCAGAACAAGAGCTGCAGCGCCTCCATCCTGACCTGCAACCTCGCTGGCTGTACCTACAAGGAGCAAAACAAGGTCACTCTTTGATCACGCATCCAGGAACAAGAAAAGAAATTACATTTTCACTGAAGTCATCCTTCCTAGATGCAGCATTCTGTGCTCTATATCAGTGGATTCGGGCTTGTTCCAATATTGAAAGTGATACCCATGAATGAGCACGGATTTTGTTGTCTTTGGGATTCGTTTCAACTTCAGCCATATTACTTGTCACTCATGACCGGTATTTCTGCAGCACCAAGAGAAAGACATCAGTGAGATCACTATCCCTATCCTGCCATTCAGCATGTGACAATGCTATCGATTTCTGAACTTTTTGAATGCCACGATACGGGAAATTTCTGCTGCTTGACTCAACTTGCAAAAGTCCAATACTTTTGGTACCTACCAAAAGCTCGAACATGGACATGCATATCTATCAACATCCCATCCATCAACCTGCTAACATCTGACAGTCCTAGACAACAACATCTCTTCTATATACCTCGAAGCTTTCCAGTACACTTTCACAGAGTGCTGGGCACTGCATTAGATCTCCCGTCCTCATGCTACATAACTGGAACCTGATGGATTCTACTCATGAGATCTCCATCGTTCACAAGCATGCACCCTCGTCCTCAAGACCAACTCTCCTTCTACCCTCGGCTCCCGGAGCCAAACCCAGCTCGCAATTCGAAGCTTCCTTCCGCATGACTCTCTTCAATATTATTTTTGTCCAAGAGTTCGACGTCCTTCCTGCCAATCAAGATTTTAAACTTGTTTCAATCGCTTGTTTGCCATCCCTCCTCTCTTTGCCGCTCGCTTCTCCCGTTCCTCTGCCCTCGCCATCGAAATGCACATCGCTCTTGTTGAAGTACCCAACCCCTTACCCCTACCCACGACCTATCCTAAAACCCACCCCTCTCTAGACGTGACTGTACCCCTACCCCCATGAAAATATCTCTTGATCACCCCTACCAGCCTTACCAGATTCACCCCTACCCCATGGGGTTGCTACTGTAGAGATTGTCTAAAGTCCCATCGGATTCCCCACCCCTCATTCCCCAACCCCACCCCCACCCCCTGATCCTGCTACTACAGGGGCTGAGTTTATAAAATTCAACTTCTATACCCCACCCATACCCATACCCATACCCACCCTTGTTCCTCCCCACCCTATGTTGAGGCTCCTTTCAACCCAAAGTTTCCCCAACTGGATCCCCCATTTCATATCCTACCGGACTACCCACCCATCCAACTTCTACCTCTATCGGTGTAATGGGTACTCGTCCCCTACCCCCACCCCTCGACTGGTCACTTTACAATGCATTTCACCAATGACATATTTTAGAGCACCACCCACCCTTCCACTGTTCGTACATTTTAAAGTTGACTGTAATCGATGGTGGGTAGGGCAGTGAGAGTACCCGGGTCCTTCCAATAGGTGTATAACCCGGTGATAAAATGCAGTCATTGACCCCACCCATTCCGAGACCTTGTGAACCACTGGAATGTACCCGTCCTGTTGGAGAGCAACGACCACTCTTTGACATGACTACCCCACCCCCTTCTAAGTTGCCATTAGACCATGTCAACCCTTCCCTCACCATTGACCCCACAAGGTCAATGGGATGACCAGTGACATAGCAGAGATATGGACCCCCGGACCAGAAGCGAATATCCAACCCTGTTGACCATCACCCCTACCCCCATCCAGGTCGTTAAGCACAAGTGACTACAAGTCAGGGAGTTGTCTTCCGGACCACCCCCACCCCCCAACGAACGGAAATACCTGGATGATTTGATCATCATACCCCAACCCTCGACCCTCTTTGATCTTTGTTCTGCTACCCCCACCCCCCACCCCCCTGGAAAGCATTCACCACCCATTCAGTTCATTTTTTGTGTTTCAAACATCATTCACACCGGTTCTTTCTAGTATCGAAGTACCGGTCATGGAATACCCGCTACCACGATGTTCACTGTCCTGAAGCGCCCGGGAAGAAGTCATGCTTTCAATTTGAAGGTTCGAGTTTTCAATTTTAGTGGAAACATTTCAAGAACAAAGAAAAACCGTCAGCAAAAATCGAAAATCAATCTTTTCGTCATTTTCAATAATATTGTTGAAGCACCCTACCTCACACCCACCCACTCTGCTTCTCCATCCCTCCTATTCACCACCACCCCTACTCGGATATCCCGAAGTCAGATGAGCACAACTTGTACCTTTTTTTTTTCGTCCGATCGGAACTTTAGTCAACTGCAGCCCCTGAGCCCAACCGTTGAATTGAACCGTTGAACTTCGGAACCGGCGGTCCCGGACGTCGGGCCCGGTCCGAGTAGTGACTCGGAGTCCGATCGGACCGGCGGGCGGCCGGCGCCGGGCCGGCGGCGGCGGCCGAGCCTTCAGGACTCCGGGACTCGGGAGAGTCTGGCAGCCGCTGCAGACGGTGAGCCTCCGCCGGGCCCTGGCGGCGGCGACCCCGGCCCCCGCGGCGGGCCGGCGGCCCCGGCGCCGGCGACTCGGCGGACGGCCGGGCCCGCCCGGCGCCGGCCCGCGGCCGCCCGCAGCCGCAGGCTTAGCGACGGCGACCCGGTGACTCAGTGATAGTGACGCTCACACTGCCGCACTGGCACGCCGGAGAGTCGGAGCGCCGGGCCGGCCGCGCGGCGCGGCCGCCCGGCGGCCCGGGCGGCCGGCGGATGATCATCAGGCCGGGCGGCGGGCCGGCGCGGCGGTGACACTGGCCACCGGGTGACGGGGGCCCGGCGCTGTGCCACCGCCGAGTCACAGCGGCGGCGGCGGCTGCCCGGCACCAGTGGCACGGTCCGATCCCCCGAAGGCTCGGGAGCGGCCCGCGTGCCAGCGGCCGCGGCCGCGCGGGCCGCGGGCACCCGGCCCGGGCCCGGCCCCTCACTGAGCCGCCGATACCGATTAGGGCCATGACTCGATCAGGCTCGGACTCGGGAGGTGGCACCGCCGGGCCGCCGCCGGCGGCGCCGCCCCGTTTCGGCCTCAGCCTTCCGACAAGTTCAGCCTGTCACGGCGGAAATCCTCCAAGCGCCGGGCGGTGGGCCGCGCCGTGCCGCCGCCAGGCTGACGGCGGCGAGTCAGCCGCTGGGCGGCAAGGCAGGGCCATCAACGGTCGGCCATACTGTGTCAACCGAACCGTGACGGAGTCTCAGTGGCGATGCCAACATGCTTGCCGCCGGCGCCGGACGCGCCGCGCCGTCACTGGCACTGAGGCCACTGCGCAGTGACTGCCGCTGAAGGCTTAGCCGCCGCGGCCGCGGCCGCGGCGCCGCCGCGCCGTCCGATCCGGCCCGGATCAGTTTTACTCTGAGGCGAGTGGGGGAGCTTGACTATGGGACCTGAAGTGCATCCAGGTAGGTGCACAGAACTTATTCTTTAAGTGGAGTATTATATAAAATAGGGTATGTATGAATGTGATGGTAGATTGTATTGACTGTGCTTGTCGATGTTGACTACAAACGTGAGTGGACGAGGATGCGAAGCATGAGGCAGGGTCGAGGGGCAAGCAAGAGCGGGAAGGGAGACGCGGAGAGTGGGAGGGAGAGGGAGAGGGAGGACAGGCATGGAGAGGATGAAGAGGAGGATTGCATCACAGGAAGCAGTGTGGATCGAGGAGAAAGAGTGTAACAGACGTTAGAAAGCCGAGACGAGGAAGAGAAGAGGGTAAAGAACCGTGAAAGAAAAGTCAAAGTGAGCGGGCATTAGAGGAGGGGGGGACGGAGAAGAAGTCAGAAGGAAATTGAGGGAGACGTGAAGTAGAATATCATCAGACTGATTCCCTCCACGAGCGCACAGACAATCACAAAGACGTTTGAATGGGCAATTTGAAATTCGGATTTGCTCAAAGAACAATAAGAAAAGGCTGGAAAATTGTCTGTGTATGGTGTGATTGTTTGAGCTCCTCCTTATGATTCACATGGATTGGTGTGCGAGTTTTCTTGATGGTGATGCTCATGGAACTGTTGCAAGTTCTGTTCGAATCAACAACTGAGAGGATTTCACAGGAGCTCTCTTATCCTGTTGGACAGGGGAATGAAAGTTCAGAGCAATTGATCAAAGTGCTGTAGAAGAATCAGATACAAACGATGTCGAGTGAAGGTGAAATAGCCCTGGACGAGGATGCGGTGAAGATCCGAGCAATGATCTCGGATGGTTTTTTGAAAGCCGGCTGCAAACTGACTCTGGTGTGTCCTACTCGTTTGCCACATGACGATTTGTGTTGTCTGCTATGTCTCTGTGCCGTCTGTCTTGCTATATTTCTTACTCGAACGTTTCGGACTCTGCAGACTCCCATGTACATCAGTCAAGATGGGACGGTTGAAGAAAACGGCAACAGCGGCGTTGTCGGCGAGCTGCTGGAAGATGGATCTGTGAAGTGTCAAGGAGAGACATACAGGTCTGACGATGAGTACCTGAGTGGTATTTCTGAGATCGCTTCCTGCAGTTCGGTCAAGCTGTTTGCACAAACGCTAGACTCAAAGGAGAAAGAGGCTGTTGAGATGGATATCTGGACTAGAATCAAAGTTGTTGACATGGATCAGACTCTGGATTATTTCAAGCAAATGAGCGAAGAATGCGTCAGCTTTCCCTTGATTTTCGACCTTATCTCTGCGGAGGACCTTGAGCGGGAGATGGATTCGGATTTGAATGTCACGGATGATACCAAGAAACGCTCCCTCAGCGAAATGAATGGAGAGGAAGATGACGAAAAAGCTGCAGATGAGCCTGAAGTTGCGAAGAAGAGCAAGCTTATTCCAGCGTACCTCCTCTGGTATCAGAGAAACAGTGAGAAGGTGAGGACGGAAGGGGAGGCGCTTTCCAAGGACGCAGCCCTTGCCAAGGCAAAGGAGCTGTGGGAGCAGCTTCCTGAGGCTGACAAGAAGCCATACTACGACCAGCAAGACAAGCTGTCTGAGGAATCCTTCAAGATGGAGATCCTGGACAAGCTCAAGATAGATGGCAACATGGCTGAGCTCGTCGAGAAGAAGCTGGCTGCTTTCACTCAGCAGGACGGTTTGCCCCTCCTCACGTCTCCTACGTCGCTCGAGAAGTTGTCTGTGCTCTCTGTCGCAACACCTACGAGAGTCTCGCATGCTTCGACGTCTGAAGCAAGCAAGAGGAGGCGAACTTCCATCAACGGCCGCAAGGTGACTGTACAGGTCGACGAGGTAGATCCCGCCAAGCTCTGAAGCCCGTTGCTGATAGCATGTGAACAGGTTGAGACCATTCTCGCTCTTGCCGACGATGACGAGAAGGACGTCGAATTCGAATTTCCTGTGCTTGCCTGCCACACTAGAAGGTCTCCCATCATGTGCGGTCTCTGACGTTGACGCCCTTGAAGGTGCCTGTGCCATGGTAAGGGCCCTGATCCCTCCACTCGCCGAGAGGCACAGGCGTTCATCAAGGGTAGCGGAGACCTCGTGCCGGTGCTGCTGCTCCTTGGTGCCTCCTCCTCTCACTTTGCTTCCTTGGGTTAGATTCGGGTCGCATCAGCTCTGCGCGGCATCGGCTTCCTCCATCGTGGCGTGAAGAATTATCACAGCAAATGGGACACGTGAGTTGACTTGAGGGCCAGCGAGGGAAGCGGAGAATCTCCTCCTCCCTTGATGATGACGACGACGATGATGATGATGAAGATGAAAAATTTATGATGAAAATGCACCGACTGTTGGTGACGGGATGGGCCCAGGTATGCCGGTGACACCATGCTGCTTCTGGCTGGTGTGGCGCTGCGCAGTCAGGGCCCGGTAAGGAGGGAGGAGAAGGTCAGCAAGTCTGGGGTTACACCTGCTGGGCAGATCAAGAAGGAGGCAGACAAGCGCTTCTGGCAGATCGCAGCTCAGTACGAGGCCAGGTACACCGACGACTCCATGGGCATCGTTGATTGCGGGTCAGGTACCAGAGCTGGGCCTCCTGTGGTGCGGCTGCGTTGGATCCAGAGTCCAACAGTGGTAGGAGAGGGCGAGTTTCTGCTCTTTGAGTGAAGATCGCAGCAGGCGACGTGCTGGGCCTTGCGGAAGGACTGCTCGCCCTTAAGTGGATGGGCGTTGATATTGATGCCAAGGAAGGACTCAAGAGGTGAGCGAAGGGGGCAAGAAGGGCAGAAACTGACTTTTGATCTTCCTTTAGCGTGTGGGATGGCGTGAAGACTGCGCTGTCGGAGCAGTGCGACACTGTGAGTACAGGAGGTGGATGTTGCGCAGTCCTGAAGGAAACATGTCAGGTGGAGCTTCTTGGCTTCGACCCTCGTCAGGAGAGGTGAGGGACGAGGAGAGGGAGGGTTACAGCATGGAAAGACAAGGAAGGAGGTGGGCAGGTGAGGCGTTGATGAATGTGCGCCATCAGGCTGCCGCTCACTAAGAGGACCAACTGCAACAACTGCACGAGGTTGCATCACCTGCCATGAGGCAGTCAAAACGCTTCAGCTCTTCATCATCAACTATCCTCTCCGCTCCTCTCCGCTCCTCTCCTCCCGTCCCCTCCACTCTCTTCCCCTCCTCACCTCTCAGCTATTCCTCCTATCGCATTCCTACCGCCTACCCCATCCCTCCTTGCCATCTTTCCATAACTGTCTGATTTCTTCTGCAGCGCCAACGACGATGCTGCCACTCGCTGTCGCTACTGCGGATGGTTCCTCAGGTAGGAGGATGCCAGCCAAGGCAAACCTCACGGCACCTGCAGGGCGAGGCCGCAGTACGAGGATGTGACGGACGCGCTGGTCAGAGGAGGAGGAGGATTGGGAGGCAGGGGGTGAGACGATTCCAGGTTTGGTGCTACCTCCTGCAGGAGCTGGGCATCGAGCTCGACAACACCAACATGTAATTTCTGCTTCCTGCTAAGCGCAGAACCAGTCACGCGTCTGGTTGCAGCAGCGGCTCTCCGGACAATGCTGGCCCAGTTCGCATGCACCATGTCCTATCAATCTATCCACAGGTACCATCACATGATGATCTGCTTCTCCTGCTGATCTGAGGGCCTGAACCTGTAGATCTATCCTTATCTCCCCAAGAACCAGCTTGGAACCCTCCTCCTCCTCCTCCTCCTCCTCCTCCTCCTCCTCCTCCTCCTCCTCCTCCTCCTCCTCCTCCTCCTCCTCCGCATGACTTTGCTGCAGATCTGTTCAAGCAGCAGTGCTACCTCATCACTCATCTCCTCCTCACCTTGAGCAAGTGAGTCCCTGTTCTTCTCCTCTTGTTGGTCCCTTGGCCTCGTCTCTTCCCCCATGACTTTCTCCCGCACAGATACGGTCAACTGTCGCTTCCTCAGCATCTTTTCCGAGCGGGTCTTACTCGTCGCGTGTTGCTTCATGGCTGAAGTGTCGACAGAGTTCACGTTCCTGCATGACAACATGTCGACTGCTGTGGAGCTCAACGATCCTGAGGTAGACGAATCACGCCATCCCCTCCCCCTCCCCCTTCTCTCCTCGTCCTCCACTATCCCTCCTCGTCTACTTCTGACTCCTCTGACTCCTCAACCTCCTATTCCTCCTCTCTCCTCCCACCTCTCCTTATCTTCGACTTTCTCTGTCTCTTAACCATCTGATAGCTGGTCGGCGAGTTCATCGACTGCCTGGCAATCCTTGGAGCAGGTGACTGCCTCCCCTCACCTCTCAGCAACTGAAGCTCCTCAAACTACAGGCGATCGAGATGTCGAGATGATCCGCGGAAGAAGGTGCAATTCAACTCCAGCTGCCTCCCACCTAACAGTGCCTGGCAGGTTCCTCCTCGAGCTGGAGCAGACGATGGGAGCGAGGGGAAGGTGGACAGATACCGATGCTCACTTCTACCGCCACTACCATACCAGCTGGTGACTGCCTGACAAGCCAACTCCAGCTGAAGTTCTCAAGGTGTGCGGTGACGGGCCTGATGCAACACAACTTCAAAGGCGAAGGACCCGAGTGAGTTGTTTTCATCCCCAACCCCCAATCTCATCTTTCTCGCTCATCTCCTACTGCTCCTCCTCCTCCTCATTCCCTCAAACTATCACGATCTTGCTCTTTCAGTATGTCGATGGCAAGCACTGACGACACAATAGGTTCAAGAAAGAGTGGAGTGCTGTTGCAAAGCACTCGGCCTATTGGTAAGGAGGACGAGGACGAGGAGCGGGGAGATAGACATTCAACAGACTGACATTCATGCAGGGCAAGTGTGTACGGGCAAGTGCTCAAGGAGCTTCCGGTGGAAGGTATGCCCTTCTGGAACCTCCAGGTGAGGTGCTGCTGGGCGTGGCAACGATCAGTGAGGGAGCGAGCAGGAGGATACAGACGCAGACTCGTCAGCTGGAACCCCGAGGAAGCGCGGAAGCAGCTGGGAGAACCCCGGGGTATGAGCAGAGAAGGACGGAGGGACGGAGGAGGGGGGTATAAGCAAGAAGACGAGGCAAGGCGACGAAAGGAGGAGAGGGGAAGAGAAGAGAGCAGAGCAGAAGAGGAGAGGCGAGGCGATGAGAGGAGAGGAGAGGAGAGGAGAGGAGAGGAGAGGAGAGGAGAGGAGAGGAGAGGAGAGGAGAGGAGAGGAGAGGAGAGGCGATGAGAGGAGAGGAGAGGAGAGGAGAGGAGAGGTGGTGATAGCATGCAGGTCTTGTGCGAGGCAGAGCCAGCCATAGAAGACCTGACGCTCCTTGGCGACGCTCTTGGCATGCAGGTGATTCCACATCCCCACTCATGCCCTCCAATGATCCTCCTGAGCTCCTTGAGTAGAGCGGAGAAATCAAGGACCAGCAAATCACTGCCAGCTCCGGTAGAAACTTCCTCACTCCTGCTCCACTTCCTTCCTTCCTCCTTCCTCCTCGCTCCTTCCTCCTCTTTCCTCCTCCTCCTCATCGTCATCATCATCATCATCTTCTTCTTCTTCTTCTTCTTCTTCTTCTTCTTCTTCTTCTTCTTCTTCTTCTTTCCCTTCCTTCCTTGTCCTCCTCACTTCACTTGCAGTCTGGGATTCGCAAGGGTGGCCTCCCGATCAATGTGGCGCTCGTCTTGCAAGGTTTGTCTTCTCCCTCTCCTTCGCTTTGTCTTCTCCCTCTCCTTCGCTTTGTCTTCTCCCTCTCCTTCGCTTTGTCTTCTCCCTCTCCTTCACTTTGTCTTCTCCCTCTCCTTCACTTTGTCTTCTCCCTCTCCTTCACTTTGTCTTCTCCCTCTCCTTCACTTTCTCTTCTCACGAATGTCGCAGACTCAATCGCGTTGATGGCATGACCGGCTGCTGGCTGGCTGCCGAACCCTCGGCAGACCAGTGGCTGGAGGTAAAACCCTCCTGCTCCATCTGCTCCTCCTTCCGCTCACAGTAGGCGTCAGGTCGATCTCGGAAGCAAATGCGAGCTCACAGGCATCGCAACGCAAGGGAGAGGACACACGCGCGATGGCATCTTCGAGCAGTGGGTCACTGCTTACGAGGTCGCTGCCTCTTCTTCCTTCTTCAAGGCTGAACGTCTGGGCAGTTGATGACGAAAGAGACGGAGAGTGAGGAGTGGAAGGGCCGGGAAGGCTTGCTCGGAGGCAACACCGACCCGCACACGCCCGTGGGTCACAAGCTGAGCGTGAGTCTCCTCCCTTCTGCTCCTCTTCATCTGCAGCTGACCATCCAGCAGCCTCCTCTCGTCGCTCGTTTCGTCCGCGTCTGCCCCAGGGCTTGGTTCGAGCACGTCAGCCTCCGCCTCGAACTCTACGGCACGCGCCTCGAGCCGCTGCCTCACAAGATGGAGGAAGTGAAAGAGGAAGAGAAGGTGGAGGCAAAGGACATGGAGGTTGAGGAGCAGGATAAAGAGTAGACCTGACCTCGCAGACCCGCTGGTTCTCGTGAGAATATCTCATTTCTGCAGAGAAGCGGTCCAGGGAGAAGACAAAAAAGGATCGAATCTTGAGTGATCATAATGAATATCTTAAAACTCCAACATGTTTTGCAGCTCTACTCCTCATATCATACACTATCGTCTGCCTACCTGTCAGCAGTAAACCCAGTCCATCCCGTTGGGTCCCTTCCCTTCGTCGCCCTCCTGCTTCCCGCTCATGCCGCTCTTCGCCTGTGCTTCTGCTCCTGGCCCTTGCACCACGTTCTGCGTAGGGGGAAGGTGAGGTATATAAGCAGTGCTGCTGCTGGGAGTGGTGTGAGCGGACAGGAAAGAGTCAGGGCCTGTGTACGCGTCCTCCGGGCCCCGTCGCGGCGAGGGCCTCGTCTTGAAGGGGAGCCCGAGCTTAGCGGGGACGCTCACCGCCTGATCCACGACCACATGCTGCTCTTGTTGTACATGTAGGCGGTGATCTGCCATGGCCTGGAACTGAACCACGTGCATGAGCTGCGGCTGCACCAGCTGGGGCTGAACGGTGTACTGCTGGATGACAGGCTGGATGGTGGCCAGCTGGACTTGAGCTGTGAGGATCTCTTGCTGTGCGCGCGAGTGAAGCTCCTCGGCATACCAGTCATATTCTTCGCGCTGCATGTGAAGGCTGAAGCCCATGCGGAAGAGAAACTCCAGCTCGAGCTTGTTGATCTCGACAGTTGTCATGCCGCCCACCTCAGCCCAGTGCTTATTGGAGTAGTAGAAGTCGTCGAGGAACTTGGCTGCAGTCATCACCGCCACAAGAAACAGTCTTTGGAAATTGGTGGTAGTCAGACACACCCCCGGGTCGCGCTTCTTCATCCGCTCGAGGTAGATGAGGCCAACGGCGAAGCAGCAGGGACTTGCTCCGCTGTACTTCGCTACCCTGGAGAGCAACAAGTAAGCACAAGACTTGATTCGAGGGCTGCAGCATGAACCTGTTCACAAATGCCGAGGCTGTGAGGGGGGGCCTGCGACCGGTGAAAGAAGGAAGGGAGCTTTTCTTCTGCAGCTGCTCATTCCTGACCACAGTTTCCTCCAGCATGTGCGCTATGACAGCGACCAGAGGTTCTTGTCTCGCAGCATCTTTCTTCATAATTTCAATCAGTTCTGGAAATGACATCTGAGTAGCGTCAGGGACCACACTCTTTTTGCCGTCCATCGTATTGTGCGGAATCTTGTTCCAATTGACAGAAGAAGAAAAATCTCAACCCAAAGAAGAATGAGCACTCAAATGCCTTAGTGCTTTTGAGCACAACAACCTCTTTGCTCAAGGTTGGACTATTTAACACCACTGGAACGAAGCTGCTGAGTGGGCCCAACAAAATCCAACCCTCATCCAACTTGACACATTCCCATCCACCGCTCTTGACCGCGACCTAAAGTTGACGAGATTTCCAACACAAGACAAGGATCACACCAACCCCACAGAGTCACCTGAGCATCGCACACACGCGTTAGAGTCTAGCCATAGACGTTAATGTTGCCAAGATCCAATTTTTACAAAATGACAGGTCAATGATCAATGATGATGGCGACATATCACTTTGCAGCGTGCTTTCGTGCTTACGCGGGATCCTCGTTTCACCCAAATCTACCTTGCACATTTCTTGTAAAGGGTGAAATCTCATATACTCCGATCGTTTCAAAGTTTCTTACGACTCTGCACGAATCTTGCATCCTAACCTTAGAGTTTCTTACACCCATGAATACCCTGATGCATTCGTTGCCTTGCTCTGTTAAACCCCATCCCCTTCACGTCTCGTTTTCTCTGCCTTTCTCATCTTCTCTTCCTAATCGTCTCGCTTCCTTGACCATCATCCAGGTCTCAGTTCGCTTCTCCTCCTCTTCTCCTTCTCCTCCCCTTCCATTCCCTTGGCGTATCTTACCGGCAGTTCGACATCCCCGTGCACTCCCTCAAGACACTACCCTACCATGGGACACAGTGTCCGAATATCTTGCACCACCCACCCTTGTATTTGTGGGACAAATATCGTATTTACCCCTATCTTACTATTCTTTTTGGGGGGTGTGAACACCCACCGATGAACTACCTACCCTCGAATCATAGTACCCCACCCCTCTTTTTCACACCCCACCCTATTGTGCGTCCCTGGCAGGCCGTTCAGGGCTGGTTTTAAATTTGAAGTAAATTTTGAAATATTCTTTGGATTTTATTTCAATCACAAATAAATTTGATAATATTTGATCTCTTTTTGAATATTGAGACAATATTTTGAAGAGAACAAAGTGAAATGTGGTGTGTCACCTGCATGAAATGTTTGTGGAGGAGCTTAAAACGTGATATTCTTTCGAAATGAAGCGTTTTGGGGGACTCTTTGAATTTACTCGTTTCAATTTGAAATACTTGAGAAATATGTTTCAAAAGTTGTGGAGGAGAATTTCAAAATTCCCTCCAGGTCTGAAAGCGACTCTGCTCGAGGTGTCTCTAGCGCCCCGAGGGGTAAAGTAGATGGATGGGTGGGTGGTCAATATACCACCGGTGGGATGAAAAAGGGTTTCGATAACCGGTCCAATCTGAAGCTGCTGGTAAGTTTTCGATCACAAGGGTGGGTGATACCAAACGACCGCTTGAACACAAAGGGGTAGGGTGCCTTGAAATACCGGTGGCTATCCAAAACCGTACCACACGGACAGAAGGGGGTAGGGGTTGAATCGAAGGATTGCGAAGAGTAAAATATAAGTTGGGGTGTTAGTCTGGGTAGCGGGGGGGTAGGGGTAGAGTCATCAAGAATATGAGGGGGGTGCGTGGTCCAACCTCAGTCGTAATGAATAAATTTCTTACCGACTAGGTAGGGGAAGGTGGTGAGTATGGGGGTAGGGGTAGGGGTAGGGGTAGGGGTTAAAAACCGGTAGGGAGAGGGGGTACGTGTGGGTGTGATACAAGACATCAAAGAGGCTTTCTGGAGGTGGACTAAAAAAGATTGACCAACAAACTGGTACACTTTGATGAGTAACCTTTGTATTGAGTTCCTTTTGATAAGTATTAACAAGTGGATCACTACTGACTCGGCCCGGAGCACAAGAAGCGGACTAGTGGGCCCGGACTGATCGGGGATGTGGTACTTATGTCATGGCGACAGCGAAGATATGCAAGAGCAAGAGAACTTCGTACCATGCTATACACTACAAGAGCTCCATCCCATGCCATACACTACAAGAGCTCCATCCCATGCCATACACTACAAGAGCTCCATCCCATGCCATACACTACAAGAGCTCCATCCCATGCCATACACTACAAGAGCTCCATCCCATGCCATACACTACAAGAGCTCCATCCCATGCCATACACTACAAGAGCTCCATCCCATGCCATACACTACAAGAGCTCCATCCCATGCCATACACTACAAGAGCTCCATCCCATGCCATACACTACAAGAGCTCCATCCCATGCCATACACTACAAGAGCTCCATCCCATGCCATACACTACAAGAGCTCCATCCCATGCCATACACTACAAGAGCTCCATCCCATGCCATACACTACAAGAGCTCCATCCCATGCCATACACTACAAGAGCTCCATCCCATGCCATACACTACAAGAGCTCCATCCCATGCCATACACTACAAGAGCTCCATCCCATGCCATACACTACAAGAGCTCCATCCCATGCCATACACTACAAGAGCTCCATCCCATGCCATACACTACAAGAGCTCGATGCTTTCTTATACAACTCGATACTATCCCAAACACATGACAACACTGGCACATGACGCATGACGGTTGTTTTTGTGCAGGATGAATCTACCGACAAGAGCTTCTGGTGAGCGAACGTAAAGTCACGATGGAACGAAACGTCGAAGCTCAAATCTTCGACGACTTTTGCCTCGAAGCTGTCGTCCTCGTTTTTGGTGCGGTCTCGTTAACCACTCTTGGTTTCATCGCTATCAACAGTCACTCAGTCCTTGCCGGAGGCGAGCTGGGCCTCCAGCAGGTGAGTGAGGAGGAGATGAGCAGGAGCATGACATTGTCCAGGTCCTCCTCGCAGTTCTCGTCTTCGGCATTCTGCTGCGAGCAGGGCTAATGGCGCTCGGAGGTGCGAGTTGATGATGCTTTGAGGTTTCTCGTTTCTCACGCCTTGTGTCCAGTTGAAAAGTTCGACCTCGAGCAGTTCTCGGGACCTCTCTTCTTCCTGCTGTGGCACTGTATCCTCCTCCTATAGGATGAGCCAACTTTTCTTCCCTTCCTCTTTCAGCTTGACGTCCTTGTCTGACGTACTAGCTCTACTCACGTACCGCTGATCCTTATTCCCGCTTCCTGAGGTGTGCCGATCAGTGCTGGTATTCGTTCGTCGATGTACAATTCAGAGAGGATGCAACGATGCGACAACAGTTTGAATGACTTACATAACAATAACAATTCCTTATACTTATCCTCGGGGCCACCCCCGGGCAGAATATCTCTCCAAGCGTTCTCCTCTCCCCCATACTGTCGTCTCCCTCTTCCTCTCCTTTCTCGCCTTTCTCCTCTCTTTCTTCCTTCTCTTCTTCCTCTCCTTCCCTCCCATTATTCGATTGGTTCGCTTGTCACTCCTGTGATACCAAAGCCTTTAGGTCCGAACTCCTTGGCGTAGCACTTCTGGCAGTAGAGCTCGCCGCGTCCTGCATCCTTCGGTCAGCAGGGGGAGGAAGAGCAAGTCGACTACGTTCGGTGAAGCGACTGTCAAGGGACTTGGAGCAGAGGAGGCACACGAAGCAGGTCTTGTGGTACTTGATCATGTTGGGGCCTTCTCTCGCCTCCGCCAAGTAGACTGTCTTATTGCAACGTGGGCATTTCTCTCCTCCTCCAAACTTGCTCGCAAGCTACCAGAGGTCACGGGAGCAGCAGGGGATGGCGAATACCTTGTTGCTTGGGGATGGAGTCTCGTTGGCTGATGGCGCCCAGGCCCTCCCTGCTCGCTCCCGTCACCATACAGGCACTGAGTCGCACACCTGTGCCTGTGGTGATGGAAGGCGAGGATGCGCTGGTGGGAGAAGAGGTAGGGAGAGAGCTTCCCACGCCGAAGCCCTTAGGTCCAAACTCCTTGCCTGCTGCATGTCACACCGTCCCTGTCAAGATGCGGAGAAAGACCGTAGCAGGACTTGCAGAAGAGTTCTCCTTGCCTGACCGAGTACGTGCTGTCCAGTAGCTTCTTGCAGATCGCGCACACAAAGCACAGCCTGAGCAAAAGAAACGTGGAGAGTGTGAGCAGGCGAGAGAGCAGAACAGAGAAAGGCGAAGGCGAGGAAACAAGAGCATGAAGAGGAGGACATAAGGGGAGAAGAGAGGAGCACGAGAAGAGGAGATCGGCGTAGAGGAAAGAAGGTATTACTTGTGGTACTTGATGGAATCTGGGCCTTCTCTGGCTTCTGCGAAGTACACGGTGCTTTTGCAGCGAGGGCAGACGTCTCCTCCTCCTCCATACTTGGTGGCGGTGGGGGTAGTGACGGGAGACCTGGACTCGCTCTTCTCCTCCCTCAGCGACAGACCTGCGACCCTCGAACTGAGAGCATCACTCTGCGCGGCAGGTTGAACGGGAAAGTGCTGACTGAGCTGCTCCACCTGCTCCGGGGGAGGAGAGACGAACTCGGGGATGTCATCGATCACGTCGTCATAGTCGTCTTGAAGACCAGAGATGGTGAAACTATTTCCCGCGCTCATGTGAGGTCGTCGTCAACTGTCAACGTCAAGTCTGAACCAGACTTGAAGCATGTCAGAGAAACAGAGATAATGCTTGTTTTTCATCATCAAAACCATGATGCTATGATGCTCTCATCAATGAATCTGCTGGTTCCTTCCTGGCCTCCCGGGCCTTCGCCCTATTACTGTACCTTCACATCTCCTCTCCTCTGCTATCCTCTCCCCTCCCCTCTCCTCCTCTGATATCCCTCCCCTCCCCTCCCTTGACCTCCCCTCCAATCCTCTCCTCTCCTCTCCTCTCCTCTCCTCTCCGCTCCTCTCCTCTCCTGTCCTCCTTCGCTGCTCTGGTTATCCTCCACAAACGATCCCATATGTCTGATGCAACCCATGTTGCATTCTTTGCCATCCTCACTCTCTCTGTTCTTTAGCCGCCTCTGGTGTCCTTCCCCACTGCCGCTCTTCTGCTTCTAACTTGCTTCTCCTCGTCCTCCCGCTCCTCTCCTCTCCTCTCCCTTCTCCCTCTTTCCCGCCCCTCAGGCCCTACTTTCAACTTTTACTGTTTCATTTCAGAAGCTATCGAAATTTCAAATGAGAGGCGAAAGTTTCAGGATCCTCATTAGAAGGGGTGAAACTTTTAGAGTTTTGGAGGGAGATTTTCGTTTCACTTTCAGCGCTTGCAGTCATCATTGACTCGCCAGCTCGTCGTGACGCAGCAGCCGCTTGTCCTCCCACGCCGTCACCTCCTACATCGTCATCCCCACCCCACACTTCCTCCTTCCTCCCTCCTTCCTCCCCACCCTTCTTCTTCCTCCCCTCTTTCCTTTCCCCCTCGCCTCCGGGGACTTGTTGTCCTTTCAGTCCTCCAACTCGAAGCTGAAGTCACTCTCCAACTTCGGCTCACCTTGTCTGCCTCTCCACTCGGGTACGCGAGCATGTCCTGCCCCAGCTCGTGGCAGTGGATCCCTTTGTCTGCGGGAGCATCACAGGGGAGGGGGCCGGCAGGCGAGCAGACCGAGTCGCCGTTGGAAGATTTTATCGACGAAGATGGAGGTGAAGAGCGTGCAGAGCAAAGAGGTGACGCACAGCAACGTGGGCCCGAAGAGCCAGCCGAGTATCTGCTGGGCCTTCAGCTGAGCCAGTCAGAAGGAAAGAAGGTCCCCTTACTGGGAACGTGAAGATCAAGAGCCGTTGGGTCAGCCACATGAAGACGGAGTATCTAGGAGAGAGTCAGGACAGCCTGAGACGCCACACACGCTTCCTGTTGCACGCCTCGCTCAGAACAGGAGGGAGATCCGCCTGTCAGGGTGTGAGAAGAAGATCCCTCCAGCCTCTTCCCACCTGGATGTCTGTCGACGTGCACTGACCGATGACAGTGATTCTGTTCAGCAGCTCGCATGCCTGAGATGCCTCAGCCAGGCCTCGTAACCTCCCGCATCACCTGGAACGTGCATGCCACGATGCCTGCCAGGAAGGTGCAGAGCACGCCGATCTTAGTGAGAGGATGGATGTCCAGCTTGTATCCGCCTGCTCCAGCACGAGTCACGGGAGGGATGCGAAGAAGCAGCGACGCCTGTCAGAGGGTCCCCGTCCGACAGCACCTGACGCACACATGAGTGAGGAGGAGGAGGAGAGGAGAGATTGAACCCGGAGGTGGCAGCTGAGGTCCAATGCGGTAGACACCGTCACGATGAGCTAGGACAGCCGTCAGCCTGTCCCTCCTCTCATACTCGGACACTCATGTCACCGCCAACGCCGAGAAGGCAACGTCGCCTATACATGTAACCACCTGAATTTCATTGCGCATGCTCTGATGGGCAACAGTGAAGAGAGTCAAGACAGGACTAGTCTGAATCACCCTCACCTGCACGCAAAGAAGGTTGTACTTGTCATCGGACGTCATGGAATTCATCCACCTCACTCTCCATCTCCTACCGAACCCGAAGATTGTCTTCTCTGTAGAATTGTGAGGTCCTGGAACAACTTGACTGCAGGCCGTCTGTACCATGAGACTTGAAGAATGTCAGGTGATAGATAACAATGAAGCTAAACCCTAAGATGACTGCAATCGACTCTCTGCAACACACTCAGAACTGGAAGCTTGTCCTTCTCCATCACCGCGAGTCCATCAGTTTCATCTGTCCTCCACATTCTTCCAAGGAGAGCCTTTTCTTCATTCTCCCCTTCGGGAATGTAAAGCGTAATGGGGAAGAATCAACCAGTATCAAGCAGATTTCTGTATTGAATTTCAGAGTGTCTGGCAATCTCCCCTCCCCTTCCTCCCCTTCCTTTCCTGCCTCCTCCTTCTCCCCCTCTCCCTCTGCCCTCCTCCCTCCTTTCTTTCTCCCGCCCTCTCCACAGTTCCCCCTTCCCTCCTCCTCCTCCCTCCCTCCCTCCCTTGTTTCCATCCCTCCTCCTCCCTCTCTTACCTCCCCTCCCCTTCCTCCCTTCTTTCTCCCTCCCTTCTTTCTCTTCCCCCTCCTTCCTGCATGGTGTTGTCGCACAAGAAGGTATTTATGATGGCCCGCCTCAGGAACGAGGGCAGTGATTTTTTGAGAGCAGAATTGTTTTCTGTCTTTTGAGTGGTGGGCGTTAAATTAATCAAGGCGGGACAGACATGGCAAGGCAAGCCAAGGGAGAGAGAGAGAGAGAGAGAGAGAGAGAGAGAGAGAGAGAGAGAGAGAGAGAGAGAGAGAGAGAGAGAGAGAGAGAGAGAGAGAGAGAGAGAGAGAGAGAGGCAGGCAGGCAGGTAGGTAGGGAGAGACAGGATTGGTTTCGAGACGAGGCAACATGAGGTGGGTTGATGGGAATAGGAGGAACATTGAAGCACATTGCTGTTTGATATATCATTATCAAGATCGTTTCTCGATACTGTCTAACTTCACATCATAATTTGTTTTTAGTGGATCAGCCGGAAAGTAGTTTGCCTGCCAAAAATTGGAGGGGTTTGAGTCCTTCGTTCATCGAGACTATGTCATTCATGGAAGAAAGTGGAGATTTCGATGGAGCACTTCGGGAGAAAAATGTTCCCAAGCCTCCGCCGCGAAGAAGGAGGCAAGCACAGGTGGTTCTCTTGATACAATTTTACTCCATCCTCACTGCTCTAACGACAATCGTCATCCTTTGCAGGAGGGAGAGAACCAGTCGGAGCAGCAAGCCTCCAGCTCTCAAGTGCTGCCGAAACAATCTGGATGGTCCGCGTCAAACGAGTCTGCTCCTCCTGCCGGTCGACGACGAGGAGATGACACGCAGGCAACGGAAGTGAACAACAACATCGCAGCATCTAATGACGACGACGACATCTTGGTAACTTGGAGGCAGAGGACTCACACGCTCACGCTGCCTGTTAGATCATCCCCGACCTAGAAGGGGAGCACGAGGACGACCTGTCGACTGTGGTGGCGGAGCCTGGAGTGGTCGGGGGCGAAGCTCTGCCGACGTCGTTCAAAGACGATTACGGGAGCCTTCCTCCCTCTCAGGTCAACGGCATAGACCTGAGCCTCCTCTACGAACGCCTCCTTCCCTTGAAACAGCTGCGAGTCAAGGAGGGGAACTGGAACCCCGACATGATGCTCAACAACTTGAAGCAGGAGATGCAGGAGGAGGCGGATAAGAAGGTGAGTTGAGGGCTTTCGTTTCGGGCAGCTGAAAAAAGTTGAACAGGAAGAGCATATGAGAGAAGATACCGAAAGTCAGCCTTGAGGATCGTTGAGGGGATCGCGTGGGCTGCAAATGGAAATACAAACTGCGATTGGCTGATGAATTCAAGCTAGTGAAGCAGATGGTAATGTTTGAAACTTTCCAAATTTAAGCCAGCTGCCAAGATGCTCACTGATGGGAAGGAGAGGTAGAGAAAGAGACCTGACACGTGGAGCTATCTGTCTTCCATTCCTCTTTGGAATCAGTTCAGAAGTTCTTGCTGACTTCCAACTAGCCTGGCTACGAGTGTAGGCCTCTACAAAGCACACCCGCTCTCTTCGCTCAGATTGTTACCAGGCTCATATTGGGCAATAAGCCACTCAGGCGCAGTCCCTCCACCATCCTCGGTAGAGGAAGCGGTTTGTTCAAGTTGTCACGGTTTGTCGCTCTGTCATAACGTTCCAACTACTAGTAGTCAATACTAGGCTGAGGTCTTGGCTCGCAAACGCGCCGCCACCTATCAGCGCCTCACCATGCAGCTGACGCTGGAAGCGCTCTTGTCTGGTGCGAGGCGCATGACGCCCTTTCGGGTGCAAGCACTTCTCGAGCCAGAGGACAGCTCCTCCTCGGACTTTGTCGAGTCGCCCGAGGAGTCTTCGCCGGAGGTCTCCGACTCCGATGGGGGAAACATCCAGAGTGGAGCCGACGCGCCCACTGTGACGTCGGATGCCTCCGGAGAGCTCGACACCACTGGGGGGCTTGCTGCTGGTCCGAGCTCGCCTGCCTCCGATGCCGCACAGCCCCGGTCCTTGGGCATTGATGCGGCGTCACTGCCGGCCGTCACGGGCGGTGTTGGTCTCGGCTACCGCTGACTCGGAGGCTAGCGAGGAGGACTGGATGCGTCACCTCGAGCGGTACCGTGCTCCTGTGCCCAGCCTCCCTCTGTCCGCTCAGCTGCCCCCGGCGGCCCCCCGGGCGGCAGCGGCCGGCTCCTTGCTTGGCGGCTGCTGTTTCTCCGTCCGGGGGCCGCAACCGCCAGCTTCAAAGCTTTGTGGCAGCGGCGGACGTCTCAGCTGACAGCGGTCAGTCGGATGCCTCCGGGTATCGCGTCTAAGGGGGTTTCATCTCGGACGTTCCCATGCTCCTCAGTGCTCCTTGTTAAACCTCCTAGCGACTGTTGCTTGACCCTCCGGGCCTGGGCCCTGCTTGTCTGCGCGTAGGCTGGCGGTGCCGGGTCTGCTGACAGTTCAAGTTGCCCCTGCTCCTCCATATCGCAGAGCTTTTTCCCTCTGTTCGAGTCTTGGCCTATGCTGACAACGTCGTGCTTGTCGGTCCACTCGAGGATGCCGTTGCAGCTACGTCCGCTATGAAGAAGTACATGTTGGCTGATCTGAAGCTAGAGATTCAACCTCGCGAGTCGAAAGTTTACATCCCCTCCTGGCATCAACACCCTGATCTCTCGCAGCTGAAGAAGAGCCTTAAGCGCCGTCTCAAGACTCAACTT